TCGAGAAGTGATTGATCTAAGTTGGCTAACGGTTGTAGGAGAAATGAAGCGTGGTGTACTTACTCGTGATCTGGTTAGGATAAATGGCCGAGCGCCTTCGGCTAGGTGAGTACGTTAAAACTAATGTGGTCAGCATAAAATTTCGAAGATTCACAGAGCTATCGATTTTGGGGATTTACTCACCGCTACAACTTTTTTTAGCATGAATTTTTAAATATATTCAGAAGCACCATTTTATAGAATATCTGGACATAGCCGTATCGTTCCCATAGAGGTCAGGAATTTGTGCTCACTTGAAGAAGAGTAAAGCAGTGTAATCGATCTACTGGAAGAAACGTAGTATATTCGTGGTGACATACGTCTAGTGTAATCCGAATGTTGATAATGAGTTTGTCTCGTGTAGAAAGGGAAATTTTTCAAAGTTTTCAGCTGAAAAGTGTTATAATAAGAAGTATTTGAATTATTATACTACTTAGGAATTCCCGAAGTAGTACAATTTACACCAAATGGAACTAGATGAGCACAAACGAACGTGATGTATTTGGTATTCAAAATCAGGCAGCCATCAAGTACAAAAGAATCATTAGTTCATACAAACACCACAAAAAGCCAGGAAATATGTATTGTAAGTGAGGAGTTCCAAAACAGACTAGGCGTGTTCACACTGATCTTCGGTTTGTTGTTAGTGTTTAATTTTTCAAATCATACATGCCCACTAGTCATTGGATGATGAAAAAGGCTTTGAAGTTGTTTGACAGAAAAGTAGTATAACCAAAAAACAAGAAAGTTGCTAGACTTCACGGTAAGCAAGCCATCTCGGTAACTTCTAAAATGCTTGAGAAGATGGGTCCCATGGCGAACATGAGAAATTTTCATGGTCTTTGACAAAGTGTCAAATAATTATAATGCTAATTTTCATCCCAAAAAAATTACTTCACTATTATTGGGAAGAAGTCTATGGTTATGGAGTTTTGCCTAGTTAAAATATTATTTGTAACCTGATATGCTGAAAGCTCTGCTCATAATAAGTGGAACTAAAAGAGGACCGATGCTAGAAATAATCTGAAATCTAGTTAACTAAACATGGATATATGAGGTGTGTATGACAACTCATGTTATTCCACATATCCACACTCCTCCTGTGTAGACAAAATCGAGAACAGAACTGAATTAGAAAAATATCTTGAAATTTCGGAAGGGTAAATAGTGTTAAATAATCTATATATTTACTCTTATTTAAAGAAATCATTTGTTGACCGCTAATACGGCCATTACCAATGAATGCTAGATAACGAGCTTCATTGTAACAGCTAGTGCAAGTAGCCTGAACATGCCACATATAACAGTAAGACGAAGATGTTTTTGTGAATGTAGTTCATTGCATGAGAGATTCGCCAAGTACAGATCAGAATGACTGTGTAAGTCATTTCAGATTTTTACAGACTGCATATACGGCATCATAAGTATCGGTAGCTTTCGTCTCTTATGTTGAATATTTTAATAGTTGTACAGATCCTTGCATAGAATTAAGTACTCAAATTCGAGAAACTAAGCTATCGTCGAATTAGATTTGTAGCCGATTCTCAATAGTGTAGTGTTATTTTCCTTTTTTACGAATGATGCATCTGAACTAATAATTTTGGCGTATCATCTCATGGAACATCACTTCAAATTTAAATTTAGCATTCATTACACGAAATGGTAGTAGATTGTATCTTCAATACACTGAGTCACCGACAGTAGTGGAATGAAGATTCAATTGACTGCAAGATAATCCAACCTCTCTGAAATGACGCTTTATGACATACGGTCTCAGAGGAGTTCACAAACTTAGATGACTTGTATTGTATATAGTACAGCTAGTTATGTCGAGTGTATGGAACTTTCTAATTACGAAACCTTTAAAATATGATGGTGAGAATTTGTGGAAGTTGACACGAAAGCGAAAGGATAGATTCGGGAAAGATGTTTTTGTACTCTAGTCACAAAGAATAAACTGCTCCACAAACTCAGGGATTTCCTATGATGCTGTCCAAAGAAGTTAATGGATCCAGGAATATCAAACTAATCTTCAAAACTTTTGGGGACGTTAGATCCTCAGAACGCACTTGGAAAAGGTCCTAACTTTTGTAATTTTATTCCGAAGATTGAAATTTCTTTGTTTTCGCGTCAAAAGCGCTCCTTTGACCTTCATGTCGTATTTCCAACTTGGGGGATCCTAGATCCTATTGGTCCTTTGTGCCTTTTAGTATGCTATATTGTAACTCTCCAGGGACGGTTTTGTGCTGTATACATACGTTTTGGTTTGTGTCTGTTCTTATCCCTCGTGTTTCTGCGGATTATACTTCTCCGTTCGGACTTTGACTTCTCTCTCTAGTTAGCGGGGCTGGGACGCAATGGAATAGCTAGTATATTGGTCTTTGGTCACAATTTTTTGTTCCGTTCGCAGACTACGTGAACTCGTAAACGCTTCAAACATAGCGAAAACCAGAGGATTACAATGGATATTATCCAATGTTATGCGCCCACCAATGATAGCGATGAAGACGATAAAGACCAGTTCTACGAGAGGCAGCAATCGATCATACAGAAGTGCTCAGGAAAGGATCTCACTTCCTGATGATAGACCTATACGCCAAAGTCGGAATGGACATAAACGGTTATGAAGATATCATGGGATGACATGGAGAAAGAAACGAGAATGGTGACAGATTTGTAAACCTATGTGCATTCAACAAGTTGGTTGTAGGCGGCAGTACTTTCGTACACAAACACATACACAGTGACACACGAGTCCAATCGGATCACACTACAGGGAATAAGATCGGTCATATTCGCATCACTAAAAAACTCAGATCAATGGAACACGTGAGAACCCGGAGAGGGACTGATATAGCTTTACACCACCACCTGGTGGTGGACAACATTTATTTTTCTGGTTAGCGACTTTTTAGCCAGTTAGTTTTCTACGGGATGTAATCGCTAACCCCATGCCCAACCCTCCTCCTTTGTCCGGGCTCGGAGCCGGCAATGGTCCCAGAGGGGCTCCAGGCGGAGTTAGAGAAACATTACAAAGGTTCGGTACAGCGTTCATAAGAGAAACTGGCAAACTCAACGAATTCAAGATAATTCTCAACAACAGGTTCCAAGCCTTACAGGATCTGCTGAAAGAAGAAACTACTAAGGAGGACAACCAGAAAGGGATTGAAGAAATGCTGACTTAAACGTGTCAGAATGTGCTGGTCCGCAAGAGGCATCATCATAATAAATAGATCTCCATCGAAACCCTAGACAAGACTCAAGCAAGGATGAGCAAGAAGACAGCAATCAAAAACAGTCGAACAAGAACAAAAAAAGTTGAGGCACAAGCTGAATACACAGAAGAAAAGAAGAAAGTGACAAGCATTAGACACGACTAGCAAAAATACGTGGAAGATCTAGCAACGACAGCGGAAAAAGCTAAAAGACAACCATACGACACAACGAAGAAACTGACAGGGAAATATAGTAAACCAGAGAGACCGGTCAAGGACACTGAAGGAAGACAACCACCAAGATTGAAGAACAGATGGGTAGAATACTTCGAGGAACTTTTGAATAGGCCAGCTCCATTGAATCCACTGAACATCGAAGCAGTAAATAGGGATGACACTCCACCAACGACGGAAGAAATTAGATTAGCCATCAGATAAATCAAGGGTTGGAAAGCAGTAGAACCTGAAAACATACCATCTGAAGGATCTGATGCAGACATAAAGGCGAGGATCGGCAAAGCGAGGGCCGCATTCCTACAATTGAAGAACATATGGAACTCAAAACAACCGTCAGCCAATATCAGAGTCAGAATCTTCAATATGAATGGCAAGACAGTTCTACTGAATAGACCTGAAACTTGGATATCTACCACAAACATCATCAAAAAGGTAGATGTATTTACAGACAGTTGTCAACGCAAGACAATCAATATTTGTTGGCCGAATAGCATCAGCAACAGTCTATTGTGGGAGAGGACAAACAAGCTTACAGATGAGTAGGAAATTAGGGGAAGACGCTGGAAGTGGATAGGACACACATTGATGAAATCACCAAACTGCATCATGAAGGGAAACGAAAAAGAGGAAGAACAAAGAACATACCACGCCGAGAATCGAAAGCAGATATGAATAGCAACTGGAAAGGAGTGCTCAGGCCTATGCTCCTCCACTAGGGGTGACAGGCTTAAGTAAGTAACATGATATACCTATTGATAATTGTTGCTATCATAATTGCTACAATAACTAATGATACATCTCCCCTAGAAAGTGTCAACTTTTGTCGTGCGATTGTGAACTACCGATTAGGACTGAGAAGCTGAAGGTAAGTAAAAAAATGATTTCTTACTTTTTGTGAGATGTTTTAACTTCACTATCGACGTCTTTCGCTAATACTTGAGACAACCGATGTAAAACCTATTATTTTCAATTGAATAAATCAACGGGAAACTTAAGTGCATTCCCTAGTATGCTATCCGTCGTAACACAATACTTGTACATTTTTAACTGTAGAGTCTACAACAAGTGTTACTGAAAGCAGTTGTTCGTCAAAATGTTTTTATGAACATTCTATAGGAATTTCTAAATAACTGAAATATAGTGGAAATGTAACTGCTCTGATGATACTCAATGAGTAAATGAAGTGTAATGTAAAACTCACAAAAGCGAAAACCCTATTGAATTTCATTTGGAAATGAACTATGACACATCAATGTCTCTTCGTTAATATTGCGTCTCTGAAAATGTATGCTTTAAACCAAATTGAATCAATTAAAACGTATATCACCGGATTTTAAAGCAACATTTGACAGAAGCTACTTGCTACTGAGGATCTTCCTGAAATTCTACAGGATTTACTTATGACTCATCTTCCAGAAGTTCCAAGTAGTTGGATTATAACAAGAAAAATAATTCCAGAAAACATTATATATAATTATTAGCATATTTTAAAAAGGGTATAGTTAGCAACTAAGCTATTTGAGTGTCTTTGACCCTGAGTGATTTAATCACAGCAAGAGAAGACCCTTTTAGTGTCCATGAAACATTTTTATACATAGCGATCCCGTTTTCATTTACTCTAAGATCTGGTTTCACTTGTTCAAAAATTTTCTTTTTGGGATTAAGTTGGTCATCAGGATCGTCTGAAAAAACGGAAAAATCAACTGATTAAGCAGTCAATTAAAAATAAAATCAAGACAGTCCAGAAATTAACAGAAATGTAGTAGTTGAACATAATCAAAAAATGGGTATCCCAAAATTGAATATATCCCGTCTATCCAAAATTGTTAAAGTACGTTCATTTGAGAAATGGGTGTCACTAACTTTCCTCTCAGTCACTATAAGAAATATGAGAGTCAAGTTTTCCAACATAGCTAAGTACTATACTCCGAAAGTCACACAGATGAAAAAAGGAATAGAATAGAACTACTTGGATTTAGGATGCCTGGATTAGGACATATATACCGAAAATAAGCGAATCATTGATTCTGATCAAATCTTTCCTCATTAAGCTTAGTCAGTTTAAAAAACAGTCCGAAAGGTTGTAAAACAATTAGTATGATGAGAATGTCATTTTTAAGACAAACCAGACTGTTTGTGATTTGGTTTAGCGGAACTTCATATGTTCTGTGGTGGCCTGACTTATTTTGTTTTAAACAATTTAGATAACTCGTCCAACTAAACTAGGATATATCTACAAATGTCAATTACATACCACAAAGCACATAATTAATCAGTTAGATGTTCTAAATACACAATACAAATCAGTCTAAGGCCGCTAACGGAAGCTCATTAGATTCTAAAGAATTACCCCAGCCTAAAGAATGTGAAGTACATGTTCGTGTTAAGAAAGATATATGTACTATTTACAAATATGTGTGCTTCAATGATTAGGTCTAATTATGATAACAAAAACGCGTTAATATTAATCACTAAGTCACTGCACTCAGAATGATTTTAAGCACGATAAATAACCAAATAATGTCAAAAATATCAGCAGCTAAAGTGTGACATTTAATTTTCTTTTGAAAGACTAAGGACAACTAAAGTTATTACTTACGATTATATCCAGGAACCACAACTGAATCACCTAACTGTATATCTGGGCCCTCAACAATCAGAGGCTCTACTCCACATGTATCTGGAGAGCTTGCACACATTAGCATTGCTTCCGATTCAACACCACGCATTTTTGCTGGCTTGAGATTGCAGAGAAATATCCCGACTCGGTTTTGTAGTGACTCGATAGGTAGATATTTCACCAACCCACTGACAACAGTGCGTATTTCATTTCCACCCAAGTCAACCTGAATAAAATGGCGAAAAGCACGTTTTAGGTTATAAAATACAAAGCTTGGACAGACTAAACACTTTATATAAAATATGAAGGCTGATTTAAAGAGATGAGATAGGAAACCACATACTTTCTCTACGTATAAAGAGTCAGCATCAGGATGGCGATTTACATCTATAATTCGACCGACACGCAGATCCAGACGACCAATATCAACAGGCTTTTCAGCAGATTGTGGTTTTCCATCTGGTATTTTACGTTCGGTATTCCGATTTTTAGTTTTCACCGAGTCCGTTTGTACCTCTGTCCTCTGTTTGGGTTGCTCTGCTATAATAAACCACAAAATGAAAAGTTCTATTACTAGCTCCGGAAGAGATTTTTATGTCAGTATTATGTGGCACTAAAAAAGGTAGTCAAGCACAGAATAAAAATATTATGAAGAAAACTAACACAGAGATGCCTCATTATTAAAATACAAATAGAAAGACTAGTATTCAATAAACGATCAAGACAAAACAAAAGAACAACTAACATCGACTTCATTCGACCACGGAGTTACATCTGGCTTGTTTGAAAAATGCAATGTGAAAACAAACAAGACATAGCTTTTTATTTCGAGCCACTGACTTGTATGACCCCAGAGGCCCCTCCATGGGCATTGTGACTGGCTAACACTTACCAATCCCTTACAGGATTTTTTTATTTCACATAATAAAATACCCACCTCTACTTTATCCGCCTAGTTTCCACATCGGGAAAATAATGCGCGACAAAGAACATTTGAGAAAATGGTTTATTCCCAACACGACCGGATTCCAAAAATGGTAGAAACAATTAGTTTATCATAAAGCCCAAGAGCAAAAATAAGATCTCAACATTATTCGCACGGTGTTACAACTGCATGTAGATAAGTCCGTTAGGGGAATGAAAACTGAAAAGCAGTTTAAAAGTTCTCATTTAAGAGCCAGGTTCCATGTGCATTAAGCAAAATGGAGGCATTGTTGAACAGTAACATTCAGTTTGCAAGATTATTTTTATTAACAACAATAATGATTTCAGTTGTTGCCAATGAAGAAATATATGTTTATGGACATAAATATTTGATAATCAGTTCGCCGAAAAGAGGTCTCATTGTTGAAAAAAATAACAATATATTCATTGAAACCTGCAGTATTAGAAGGGCCATCAGTGGCAGTGATTCAGATTTACTAAATTTATATTTACTGACAATGTCTCATTCCCAATATTTACATTCATTTTGTAGGTTGTAACCGTCTTCAAGTATCTGATCTTAATAACCAAACAATATCCAATATTGCCCCGGGAACAGTAAACCAGCTTAGCGAAAAACGGTGGCATCACGCTAAATACTATATATTACGAGGACAGTTATTAATATAATAAACCTAAATATGAATCAAGAACTAGAAATTAAACGAGCCCATTTTTCACATTCTGACATAAAGGATCATACCATTGGAAAAAGTGGATCAATAGAGAGAAAAAACAGAAACTAACCTTCCGGCACTAATCCTTTATCGGACAAATGTCCGATTTCCAGTGAATTTCCATTCAAATTAGAACCATTGGATACAGCCTTAACAGAGGGTAAATGATGAAGTTGTTGTTGATTTACTATTTGTAAAAAGACTTATTAGTTAACTTGACTAACATCCAAGAAGTAGCTCCTGCTGAATAACTGATTCTTTTAACGACTTTATTCTGTGCAGCAACTGTTTATTCTGTACTTTGAGGCATGCTTCAACATAGTTTACTGCATCTGGTGTTGCAATTGATTCCAAATGTTTCAACTTGTCAGAAATAGATTGCAATAGCTTGTTCATCTTTAAAACGAATGGAAATGTCCCCATAACAAAAAGCATTTGTAGTAATCGGAAGTCACAAAAAAAATATACAGTATAATTCTTAATACACATCTGTGAAATCAGGTGTGAGAAATAAGTCAGTCAGTCAGTCAGCTACAACGTAGGACCAGCCACATATATGCATCGGTCCAGGTTGCCGTACCGCATTAGCACAGCAAGATGAACACCGGATTCATATGAGTGGTTAGGTCAAAGGTGGTAATATATAGGAGAAAGATTGCATATAAGGATACAGTACAGGAAGAAAGAATTAGTTAGTAGAAAGAAAGATATGAAGTGATTTTAATCTCTTAGTTTAAGGGAAGACAGGGAGTGTATACACCGACGCCATTGTGATCGATTCTGAGCCATGTCACCAAGAGTCTCCAACCATTGGTTACGATAGTCACGCGGACCCCAACCAAGTAGTCTGCATCTACCAACATGGCTCAGACTAGAGTTTAGTGTCTTCAAGCACTGATGCCACGTTTTGGTTTGGCCACCCCTAATTCTCTTCCAACCATCTCTAACACCCGTTAGCATTGCACGACGTGGCAATCGGTATTCAGGCATGCGTAACACGTGGCCCAACCATCTCAGTCGATGAAGATTAACAACCTCATCAACTGATTTACCATCATTACCTAATACCCTGCGTCTAACCTCACTATTACTTACCCGGTGATCCCAACAGGCGCCAACAATATTTCTAAGGCATCTGTGGTCAAATACTAGTAGCTTACGGGTGTCTTCTACTCTTAAAGGCCATGTTTCGCTGCCGTAAAGTAAAACAGAACGGACTGCCGCGCAGTATACTCGTCCTTTTATTGATAGACGGATATCTCGCCTTCGCCATAGGTGACGTAAGTTGGCAAAAGCCAAACGAGCTTTTCGAATCCGTGCTGAGATTTCGTCCGATACCAACCCATTAGGGCTGATCAGACTTCCAAGATAAGTGAAGTTGTCGACGCGTTCGACTACTTCACTCCCTATCCTTAGTTCAGGTGTTGACGCAGACCAGTCCTGAAGCAACAACTTGCATTTAGAGGGAGAGAAGCGCATTCCAAACATCCTGGCATTGTTGCTCAGTGCTACCAGAAGACTGCATTTTGTCAGCGTCTTCACCAAACAGGACTATGTCATCTGCGTATTCTAAGTCGATAAGTGGATTGGGAGCAGATGAGAGTATCGTCTTTTTCCGAAATAATCTCACTTACACTTGACTTGTTAGTTTCAGTTTCTTTTATTAGTCTGTCTTGTGTTCCCTATAGTCGCCGCCTTTTCCATCTCTTTTCCTTTCGTTGCCCACCACTGCTCACGGTCGTTCCTTAGACTTTTACTTAACCTAGATCTGATTTGTTGTCGCTCTTCATCGTGTTCAGAGCCTGATGGGATGAGTTTACGAGAATCCATCAGTGCAAAAGACCTTGAAGAAATCCATTGGTTCTTTGTAACCCTGTGGTTTAAATCACTGATAGATGTCTTTGCTGTTTCCACAGCTGTTTGTATATCTTTCCAAGCAAAATCTGGGTCAGCCTCGTTTTCAGAACTACCTAACTGTGACCTCAGTTGTTCCTGGAACCTACTTTAGGTTTTATCGCTACTTAGTTCGGTCCTAATGGGTCTTTTTACTGTGGCTTTTTTGCGTCCACTGAGGCGCAAGCAGATGCGTGCTCGTATTAGGGCGTGGTCGGAGTCCAAGCAGGTACTCCAGAATGATCGACAATCTTCTATCGAACCTCTCCAACGATGACTGATGGCAATATGGTCTATTTGAGTCCATCGTTGGTTTGGTGTATGGGGTCGCCATGTTAGACGATGTCTCTATGCTTAAAATTTGTGTTTGCTAAAAATAAACGATTGTCTGAGCACAGTTGCAGCAGACGGTTAATATTATCTGTTCGCTGTGTCGGAATACTAAAATATCCACCTAAATCCCTTTCTGTTTGGTTTAAACTACCTATCTGGGCATTAAAGTCACCCCCTACGAGTACTATGTCTGAGCGTTTAGCTTTCTGAAGAGGTTCGGACAGCTTTCTCTAAAATTCATCTTTCACTTCTGAGCTGCAGTCGGTGGGAGCGTAGGCAGAAACGACGAAAAGGCAACGACGCGTGTCCCTATCCTTCCGAGTTCTTACGTAGCCGTTTAGCCGGACAGCACATAAACGACTGTTGACGGGGATCCACTCTAGCAGTGCTTGTTCTGCCCTCATGCCTAGTGCTATCCCTACTCCTGCTAGTCCACGAGAGCTGGCCATCGGGTCACCAGATACACGGAGGGTGTGTCTCGTTGGCTCTCCGTTTTGCCGAGGTGAGGTCAAGTGAATGACCACACTGGAATCCTGTATGCGTGTTTGGGAGACACAGCATACATCAATGGAAAGAGACTCTAGGGTTTTAGCCAAGGAAGCCTGCTGACCGATTTGACATAGAGTGCGTACGTTGAAAGCTCCAATGTGTAGTTTGGAGCGAGGTTTTAAGCCTACTACTAGAGAACGTACGGAATAATTACACAAATGCAATGGACAGCGGCACAATATACGGCATTGTCTGCAGATATGATATTTATCGATTTCAGAAAGGGTGAGACTATAATTTGTGGACGACCTTTGAGAGACGCTATAATGACTTTGAGTGTCTACCTACTTAATAGGGCTAGGTGAGGGTTATAGAGCAGTTTGAAGAATAAGGATTATGATTTATAGTTGATGGTTGAGGTCAGGAATTAGATTTACGGTTTTCATCACGACCTGACATCCGCTATAATACCAGGATTCTATTTAGCCAAATGGGTGAATGAATTTCGCGCCAAAACGCAAGACCCGTTATCGTAAACCTGATTGGTTCGTCCACAAATTGTAGTCTCGCCTGCAGACACTATTTTTTACAGATGATATCAAATTCATGAGTATACTGAGTAGTGAGACTGATTACCTTGCTATCTAGTCTGATTAAGGTCTGATAATAGAAAGAGTAGGCTGGTCACAGCGCAATACTTGCCCAAATAGCGCCAATAAGATACGGCTTCCAGAAGTCCTGAGACAAAAAGATCTAGAGGTAATAATGCGTTGTGAATTGAGAACAACTGGTCATGGTAATACAGTAGTAGGATAAGTTCTTCACGCGCATTACGTCGTTAAATAAATCAGGCAGCCATGCAGGCAAATGTTAACAATATTTAATTCGCCATACAGAAAAGAACAACAATGAGCTAATTCCTCACCAGACCGCCTGCAATAACTCACCCTCGCAACCCGATAGTACCGAACACTTTGGTACGGCGCGCCTAACACCACGCAATAACAAAAAGCAAAAACATTCGTGTTCTTTTTCTTCTTCGAACAGAGTTTGGCTCGGCTCCAGAATACTATGTAGAAGACATTTTCGATATATTTTGTTAATCTTTTTCAAGTAAGCTTTCATGAGTGCTTAATCTCAAGGACGTGTCAATCGGACCCAACTTATCTAAGTAGTACGTCCAAATAACTCATAAACCTGTGAGAAAACCTGTGTGTCACACATAGAATCAGCGAAATCGTCAGCTATGTTTACTGAACTGTTCTGACCCCAAATCATTTCTTAGTACTCTATACCTCAAAATAAAATAATCGCTTAATCTGCAGACGGACAGTGCAAACAAGTATAGCTTCCAAGTATCATTTCATACGACAGGCCACAGACTCCCGGAATTGTGAAGGTAGCTAATTATTTCATAAACTAGGAGGTGATTAAACATTTTAACCCATGGTTGGGGGCTGAACGCATTTTTAAAATTCAGACCTCACCTCTGTACGTCATGGTGGACATATTTGCATCCAACCGAACCACTTAGCATAACCGGAAGGTCCATAGTCAACCTCGGAATAAATTCGTAAATTCCCAAATCTCCTTTTCGGTTGTAGCCAGCCAAACTGGACTAGACCAAAAATTCTAGTCAGGCCTATGTAACTGATTTCTACCGACTACTTATTATTGTACTGCTCTTTTCACCTGTCTCTTTCTGTTACAAGGTTACTTGTGTGTGATAATCTTAACAATGCCATAAATATACGGTACTAAAAGACATTATTGTCTTAACTCCTTTTGAATCGAAGATCTCGAGGCCGGGCAAATCAGAAGACAAGAATGAGAGCGTTCAAATATTTACTGGAAAATGGTCAAAGCCTTTGAAAGTACTTGATCCATTCCGACTATGTGCCGTAGACGTCCAGCACAGCCGACCTAAATGTAGTCTCGTGCGGATGTTTGACCAGCGGCCCCTAACTAGAAGCATATCCAGTATTTCTGGTGTGGATGCGGAGGAATAGACCAATAATTATTATGTTAAGTCCAATGGTGTCCTTGGACTTTAAATGGACATTTCCTATTGGTCGATACCTGCTCACTTGTTGAATATTGTACAAAATGTTGTTTTCTATTTTTATGGTACGATGTGGTATGCTTGGTTAGTATATAAATAGAGTATGTTTGAAATATAATGATTCATATATCCGAGGCTGAAACTTGTGTTCTGGACTCAATTGGCTGGGCTATACAGGGATGCGAGACCAATCAGAACCCTAGGTCGTTCTACGTGTTTGCGCGTCTTTGGTCCGATCAATAATTCGCCCCCCTTAATACGCAGCATTATTTTTCACAGTCATAACAATTGGCGACGGGGTAGAGAAAATTTTGAACCCTCTAATTGGACGAGATTCAGCATAATTATTTTGACCAATCAGCATCCAGATTGTCATCAGCGTCCTTGAGCAACATTGGTCATTATTCCTACATTTAATTTTCATTGCTGGTGCAGAAAAGAGAAAAAATGACTACCTTTTCCGGCCAATTACAGCTTCTACTTGAGCAACAACAGCAGTGCTTCAAAAATAGCCAGTTGAATTTTTTAGAAAATTTACGCACACTGTTGGTAAATTTTCCATGTTTCGGAAATGCAACAGAAGTTGATAAGTTCATTTCTAATCTGCAGACTGATCTGGAAAACAACTGCAGAACATATGAAGCTGCCTATAAAAGCCTCTGTGAATCCCGGACGACCAGTGATGTAAACGTGACAGTTATTCATGATCCGCCCAGTTGTCCAGAAATGTCAAATTCCGAGACATTCCCTGTCGTGGGTTCAAATCCCACTGTTCCTGAGACGTGTACAGACAGTGATGTACCCAGCTCGCAGGAAGATCTCTCATTAAATGCTCATAAATTAATTGCAGTACCCGCCCACAACGGAACAGGGAACGAATCGTGCAGTACACTGAATCCAGCTGTTTCAAATGGTCCTCATCGTTCAACAACAGGAGATTCTGACGAATCTTATTATCTAGATCCTTTTGTAGCAGAAAATGTGTTAGATGCATCAAATGATGATCAGAAATCTAATACAATTTTGATAGATGTTGATTATCTCAGTGATCAAATGTTTACAAATGAGATTTTCAACAAATCCCATGATAATGTTCCAGAAGAATCAAACGTTGATGACCTCATATCAAGTGACATTGTTCCCCACTATTTAATCACTTTCAGTGATTTCTCTGTTCAATCTGACAATGATGTGTTAAATAAAGTCAAATTAATTTTAACTTGAGGATATGAGGACTCAACATTATTTCGTGGGGGAGGATGAACCAGAAAATTTCAAAATCCGGATATCAACTCCGGATCTTCAAAAAAAAGGGGAGGTGTTGTGAATGCGGAGGAATAGACCAATAATTATTATGTTAAGTCCAATGGTGTCCTTGGACTTTAAATGGACATTTCCTATTGGTCGATACCTGCTCACTTGTTGAATATTGTACAAAATGTTGTTTTCTATTTTTATGGTACGATGTGGTATGCTTGGTTAGTATATAAATAGAGTATGTTTGAAATATAATGATTCATATATCCGAGGCTGAAACTTGTGTTCTGGACTCAATTGGCTGGGCTATACAGGGATGCGAGACCAATCAGAACCCTAGGTCGTTCTACGTGTTTGCGCGTCTTTGGTCCGATCAGTAATTCGCCCCCCTTAATACGCAGCATTATTTTTCACAGTCATAACAATTTCGAAGTCTTTTAAAGACTAGTCATTTAGGTTTTGACTTGCCATTAAAACCTCCCCCGGAATCATTCACTGCATCACATGTCGTTTGTCTATACATAAGCCATTATGTCCGTTCCGGTTACTACGTATTATATGTTAACTAGTACACTGGTGAGGCCGACAGGTTTGTGGAGGATTGTGCAGCGCCAGTGGCTTTTAAACCTACATGGTTTATTCTAGCTTCCGACAAGCTAATTTATTCATTCTTCCGAAACCATATTTTGACCTTGTCACTCATTGGCTTATTTATTCCCAATACTTTTAGATGAGCGTATGTTTGTGCACACCCTATCCTACTCATCACAAATGTGATTAACATGTTTCACATGTTTATTGACTGTAACAGAAAGAAAACGCTGAAAGTCCCGCCACACCATTTTTGTTGTGCAGTAATGTCATTTATCTGTTTCTTCTCCTGGTCTTGTATTTTAACCTTTTTTCAGATCTCCTTTAACGAAACTTTGTGTTTTTTAGTCTTCTTTGTCTGAGCCCTTATTGTGTGATTTTGAATATGAACTTATATTTTGTTATCTAATTTCCTGTTGCATGTTGCCGGACGACTGACAATAAGGTCATGTTCGACTAAGCTCAAGGTCACAGCGTGGTTCAGTGTGTCACTGTAAACCTTTGACTGTCTGCTTGTAAAGGTTTTCGGAATCACTACAGATAGATAAATGACCCTATCTTGTCGGGAATATTGTTACTGATCCTCAGGTAGAGAAACTTTTGTCAGTACAGCACAGGCTGTACCGTCTGAGGTATTTTGTACTTTTGATATAATCAATTCTATTTCGTAATTCAGAACCGTTTAAGTTGAGCACAGAGTTTGCGTTTTGATATAATTTAACACGAGTAACTGAAAAACACCTCGTTAGTTATACAGAAGAACGTAGTCTGGTACAATCGAATATATTTTGGGTTGTTTGTTCTGCGTTCAAACCAAGTATTGGGATTTCGGTTTTTACATTAACTTTATTCAAATGTCCAGAGCTAATATCAACCTCAGTTATTGTATTTTCAGCTACATGGATTGTGTATCAAGGAAATAATGTCACCAGAACCCGATCTAGCGTGCGATTACCCTCATGTTCTATCGCAAGTAATAAGTACTGCTGGTAGGTGATAATGAACTAACTGAAACGAGGCAAATCAATCTGTTTAAGACTCACGTAAGACAATTCGTGGCAAATTTCTAAACGTGGGAAAAATTCTACCTAATTAAAAGTGAACTCAAGAGAAGCATTGGGGAAATCTGTGAAAATTTAGTATGCATGTAGAGAAAAATTCATCGTTTTGGCACCTTTTGACCAACCTGGGGAAGCACTTTGAACTTTCTCAAAAATCTTAATGAGAGGTAATGTGTCAAAGTCTATGAATCACCTTAACATGAATAAGTATCGAGTGATCTGTTTCTCCCCTAAATTGTCACTGAATAGTCTGCTTTTATACCGGTTAGAATTCAACAGCTTGTTGAATCCTAGATATATACCAAAAAATTTATTTTCGTGGAGAATCGATTTTTACCACAATAACTAAAAGCATATTTGGAGGACGTTTTTTGCTGTTTATTTATCAGTTGGGTTATTATTACCACCTCCAAAGTAAAAAGGTATGAAACAAATCACTGACTGGCAAATATACCTTGGGTATCTCCTTGTCGAAGAGACATGTCGACTGCCTCCAACTCCTCTTCATTATGATAAAGGAGATTGTAAGCTATGTAATGTGACACCAATCCCGTTCGATCGGTCATCGATGTCAGGAGATTTCAAAAGAGGTATAATGTGTCTCATATTTCCTGGCACTTCAACAATGCTGGCTGAAATTTTAGCTAAATTGAAATTTACTCTTGATAGTCTATGAGACGGAAGACTATTTAAAGCTTGCTCATTCTAAAGTGTAGTGTTACTAGGCGTCAAGGCACTGATTGATGGCAACGACCATAGGTAAAGATCGCAGACTTACTTTGCGACCCGAGAGTTTAGATTGTCTATTAGTTTAAACTTGGGATATTCAACTGGGCCATACCTAATTTGCAATTCTGCGGCAACCACGTGGATAGAATCATGCATTCGATTCACTAGGTTTCCGCAAACAGTCATTAGCGAGAACTCGCTTTCAGTTATCTATACATAAACTTCAAAAGTCTTAATCATGCCTTTTTTATTCAACTCAATTGGTAGATGACTAAATCAAGTCAGGCGTAAAACAAAAATAATACAATAGGGAGGTGATTGACGAGTTTTCAATTGACCGAAATCATTAAATACAATAAACTTTATGATTATGGAACTGTCAGAGCAATGAAAGTTCTTTGTTAACTCAATATCGGCCGAGCTATCTGAATACAAGTATACTTGTTCAGTAATTACCACTTTTTCAATACAATAGGAATCTTTCTCCTAACTATAAAAACTGAGAACTGGGGACTTTTAAGGTGTATGCTAAAAGAAATTTAAAAATAATAGAACAGGTTGTGAAACCAAGAGGACAAATTATGCATAGTCGCTTGCAAAAACGACGTAAAATAAGGGACTATGGCTTCAAATTCAACTCACTATATGGCTATAAACGTACATGATACCTCTGCGATGGCTAATTACACATTTTCACGAACGACTACTGAAAACATAAATATACCTATAACGATCGAAGTAGCAATATTCGGTTTGGACGTAGAACTAGTGAACCAAATTTTATTCGACTAAGCATGATTGACTTTGTTTGTATACCATATGAAGAGTTTTTGAGTTACTGGCAATCAATCGTATTAAGACACAAACCGTGTCCAATTTAAACAGCTCTAGTTAAAGGAGAATAAATTATATAAACAGCACACAATATCTCAAACAATACATCTTGTGCAATACAATCGAGAGTTTTTCTAGCACAGGCGAACGTGCTGAACAATAAAAGGAATATATACATGATTTAAAATAGTGATATAATACTCATCGAGTGGATACGTTACGTAATAAATTCATAATGACATTTAGATTAACATTGAGCAATTGGAAGAAAAAGGATTATTAATATTCAAGGTAATTATTAAGTCAGGAAGTTGTTACGTTGCATAATATATGAAAAAGAGAAGGAACAGAATTTTTAATGGATGGTCAATAGAATAGTAGTTACGTAAGAATCAAGAGATGAAGGTTGAGAAATAACAGAGTTCAAAAACAACAAAAACAAAATTAAAAATTGGAAAAACCCGAAAGGAGGAAGTTTGAAAAATGGTTCTGTTGAAGGAAATCTCGTACGGATGGCCAAGGCAGCTAAAGTGGTTGTACAAATTTCTTTTGAATGCAAAGGTTAGGTTTGTGAACATTGACTGCGATGGCCTCCGCAATGTGCGAAAGGCGCACTCGTAAGCCATGTGGCAAATGTGATGAAGTATGGTAGATAAACTTAAAAGCTTTATTCAATTCAACTTGATGACCTGTGCCAACTAATTGAGCGATAATAGAACTTTTAATCACTTTTACCTGTCCTTTGCTTAACCACGACGGATGGTGCTCTGTAATACGATAACGAACTTGCCGAATTGTACGCCTTATATAACTGCCTCCACAGGAGCAGTTGAATAGATAAATACACATGTATTTGGCGAATTCAGGCAGTCTGTCTTTATTGGCCGTTCTTATTTCGGTGTGGTTGTAGAAGATAGCAATAAGTATGGCTGCATTATTTACTAAATGTCAAAATGGGAATTTTCACTACATTAAAACGTTCTGGGCAAACATTCACGTTAAAGATTCTAAACAAGTATCTGAAGTATAGCCCAAGGCTCAGTAAGGCGATGGCAAGTGTAAACGAACAAAGACGCGTGATGAAGAAAAGAAGAGGGACCTCAACAACGCTAGTATCAACGGAGCATGTAATGATACTAGTAAGGACATGCTGAAGCTCAGCACCGTCATACCATCAAAGGTACTATACTCCCTCAGCAAACTTGAGTCTCCCAACACGGGATCCCTGAACGCAACGGTCATCCCCAAAAACCCTGAAGGTGGTTGGAATTACGTCAACAAAGTTAATAGAGACCGGGTGTCACCGTCTAAGAATCTGAACATCCCAGATAATGTGGCAAGTTTCACTGATTATCTGGCTGTACAGTCTACTCCTAAGCCTGTCCAGCCGGTTGAAGATGAGCACAAGAATCTGAAACGGCCTTCAACCACCAAACAACAAGTCCCTCAGCCTTAACGTACTCGAAAATCTGGAAAAATAACCAAAGTTCACGATGGATTTCTTATAATCATGAAACGTTATGAATCGGTTTTTGAATATATAGAGCTTGGACAGTGGATTCAGTATTTCAGTAGCCCTACCAGACTTCAAATTAGCTTGCACCTAGTTTTTACCAGTGGCCTCACCCCTCACACTGCGTATATCGGAAAAACGTTTCAAGGCAGTGATTGAGAAATTGTCATATCAAGCCTTGATATAAATGCCACAACCGGTAGATGCAAAACTCTAACACTTCGTAGAGACTATCACATGGTTGATCGGAAGAACTTTTAAAATTAACTAAGTACATACAATACCGGCACACTAACTAATATATTCTATCACAACATCATAAATATCTTCGACAAAATCGCACATTTAGAATATCGTAAATCTAAGTATTCTAAAGATCTGTATATACCGGTCTCTACGCGAAAGTCCTTAAAGACAATGTACTTGATTCCACAACCTTAACGACTTTTCGTCTTTAGTTGCGATAATGGAAATATTTGTCCAGGCAAAGGCAATACGTACACAAAAGACAGTCGCGCAGGAAAAACGTGCTATCGAACTCAACAGTGACTCCCCCACAGTTATCAAACTTAGACGTACTAAATCGTAAGGAGGAAACGCATTTATTAAAAACAAACAAGTATACGAAAATCCAAAACTTGTTATGGAACTACTTGGTGAACACTTTTATTCCTTATAATCTAACGAAAAATCACCAAATGAATCAGAACCGATCCCAGTACCTTCCTGTGAAATTGTAGTGGCATTGGACAATAGCCACACAATCCACAAAACTGTGAACACGAGACTACTCAGAAAATAGATATTCAATATTTAACGCGGAGAAATACCTAGCAATGGAGAAGGCGCGAACGATGAGTTGGATAAATTGGAGTTGATCGGATGGCATGGCTCGACCATGCAGGCGTGGTCCCTGTTGAATGTTATCTTATATCTTTTATTCATATTAAATATATTGTTCTTTCTCTAGCCTAAGCTTGTTCTTCATCATGTATTGGTAGTGGTTACGATACAGTGAGTTGGTGTAGACGATGATGTGACTTCCACGTAAGATCTTATAGATTAGGCAGTTATATCATGACAAATCTACAAATTTAGGATTAGGTCTCTTATTAGAGCAGTACTAATATCATAGTAGACCATAATTCTACAAAATTACTAATGTACAGAAAATTTCTAAGGCAATTAACACACCGGAACAATCCTATATAGATGGAACAGATGGTATTTCGGCTAGCGTGCTGAAAGGCGGAGGTGACGATATTGTGTGTTTTACGTCTCAAACGATTAGCGATATTACTCGCTACCGCGTGTTACCCTACTGCCTCAAAAACCACACATACTATTCCCATAATTAAAACAAGACCTGAAGCAAATATTAAAAATTACTGGTCCATAAACATAACTTTTTTGGTATCTAGAGTGATGAAAAAAGTAGTTACGGTGGTGTTAGTTCAACATCTACTCACTAATAATCTCGTCTTAACCCTCCAGGCGCAGGTTTCTTATGTCTACATCATGCGATACATGCTTAGTAGAAGACCTGAACGACATAACTCTGAGACGAAACAACGGACTCATAGTACTAGTCTTATTCTAAGACTTTACGAAAGCATTTAATAAGGTCCGACACAAAGGGCTTCTCGTGATTTACTCATGGTTTGCTTTTTTGTCATCGAACGCCAACAAATGGCAAAGTAGAATGACTCTCTCTTATCACCTGGAGCAATATCTAGTGTATTTGTAGAATTATGGTCTACTATGATATTAGTACTGCTCTAATAAGAGACCTAATCCTAAATTTGTAGATTTGTCATGATATAACTGCCTAATCTATAAGATCTTACGTGGAAGTCACATCATCGTCTACACCAACTCACTGTATCGTAACCACTACCAATACATGATGAAGAACAAGCTTAGGCTAGAGAAAGAACAATATATTTAATATGAATAAAAGATATAAGATAACATTCAACAGGGACCACGCCTGCATGGTCGAGCCATGCCATCCGATCAACTCCAATTTATCCAACTCATCGTTCGCGCCTTCTCCATTGCTAGGTATTTCTCCGCGTTAAATATTGAATATCTATTTTCTGAGTAGTCTCGTGTTCAGCTTCGAGGATTGTGTGATTATGGTCCAATGCCACTACATATTCATCCAGAAAAACGTATTGGGTTATATATACAGCCACAGTGAAGACTATCTTCTGTAACAAATTTATCTTGCTTGTAAATCGGCATGCATCATGCAACAAACTGTTATTTGAGACTATTATTTTTGATAACTCTACCAAATTTTTATCAACAGAGTGTAGCTTGAATTTTTTCATGCATATCTTCGTTATCTTTACTTTAGAAAACGTTCTGAACCTTGAAATAATATTCTATTGATAAACACCGGTAGTCCTACTGACAACATTGTCTTGTAAAAATAGTGAAAGACATAATATTCACATTAAATAAACACACAGACACAGCCAGATG